GATGCCCCACTAGGATAGGCTATAGGGCTTACACACACACACACACACACACACACACACACACACACACATACACACACACACACACACACACACACACACACACATCTAAATTGACCAGACTTAATCCTTTCTCATGATTCCATCTATCCCCAGACTAACCGGCATGTGCAATCTTTGAAGGTATAAAAAGACTATCACAAACAATTGAAGATCGACTCAGTTACTCGTACGTAGTCTGTCATCGCTGGGACGAACAGAGACAAATCATGTCGTTCCGGTTCCGATCGAAGTCGAAGCAGAGCATTAAATCAGTCGAAGAGCAAAACAATGATCAAGACACGGTCATCATGAGGAAGAGGCGGAAAAGCAATTTGAGGTTACTGCGCATTGCACTTAAAAGCAGACTGCGAAAAGCGTATGAATTCCGCAAACAAATCACCTCCAAGTTCGAGAAGGCGATGAACCAGTGCATCTTCATCCGCATTGAGGGCATCATTCTTAACTCCTCGGGCTCTAGCTTTCGAAAACAGAACAAAAAACCCGGAAGAGGAACGGGAGCGGCAGGCAAGATGTCTACAGCCCGAAAATCCATCGTTCGTGTGTCCGTGAAGAAACCGCGAACTATATCGTTTGTAGACGATTATGATGAGAAGCCAAAGCAGAGGCGACGCAAGAGCGACTCAATTGCTGGCGCATTGAACGAATTTCTCAGCGTCAGCAAAAAGGACAAGGAGGAAGAAGAACCGAAGCACAAACGTCATGTGTCTTTTCCGACACTGGACGAGCAGGCGATCGAGCTAAGCCAGATAGTATCTGCGGTGACCAAAGAGGCGGAGGCAGGGGGCAGACTGGGGACATCTGTGTCCATTTGGGACTCCGTGAAAACGAGCAAAGGGGCGTCCTCGGGGAGAAAGGGGACACCGGGATTCGGCGACAAGACACTGGGCAAGAAGCCGAGAAAGAAACAGAGGGAGAGATCCACAAGTTTGTACCAGCTGATCGCCACGCAGGAAGAAGACGCTGAGCACAAAACAGCCCGGAGAAAGTCGCGGAAATTCTCCATGGGGCGACAGAAAAACGAACAGTCGTCTTCGCCAAACAGTGTGTCATCAACGGATTCCAGATCGCCAAAGGGTTCGCTTTCAAAGCTCAAACAGGTTTTGGGTGGGAAAAGAAAACGTAGCCCAGGCCCATCGCAACAAAGCAGAGCGTCTGCGGGCAGCATCAATTCTAACAACAGACGAGGGAGAAGGACACCGAGTGTAGAATCAACAGACTCACACCAGCAGAGGGTTGGTCTGAACCAGTCGGAGTCAAAAAACTCCAGAGATTCAACTGACTACCAAGACTGCATACCGGAAGAAAACGACGAAGAAACATCCCAGCATACCCCCAGTCAGCGGGAAACACCAAAAACAGAAACTACCGACGACGAAAATGTAGGAGCAACCAGTTATGCGCAAGCTGCCAAGTCGCTAGTCTCTAACATTATATGGGAAAAGACAGACACTGAAAGTACTAATGGTGCCTCGCCCGAGCCAGGGCCTGGGGGTACAGCAAGGGGTCAGAACCTTGCGGCATCTCGGGGTCCTTCTGACACAGCTGAAAGCCAAGGAAAGGAGGCAGGCAGTAGCTATATACTCCAATATCTTCCGTGGTACACATCCTCAGAGCAAACCACATCAGCCGGCTCAGGAAGAAGAGAGGCCAGAAGCGACGACCCCAGCGAGTTTAAAAAGGCAACCAGGTCGGAACATAACCCGGTCAGCGGCACAAGCACCCAGATAACGCCACAGCCGTCGGTGCAGCAGGCGTCTGTTGCACAGAAATCGAAACAGTCACAACTAGGTGCACAACAAACGGGATCGGGGAAGAAGAGCTCAGCAGCGCGGGGTCGTTCATCGCCACTGGCACCAGAACAAGGCTCGCAAGATTCCTTTGCAAGTGTCATAGAGCTGGACAGCAGGGAGTTTGACAGACTGAGAGCGATGAGGGCAACTGATAAAACTAAGACGAAGAAAAACAAAAATGCGGTGAGTGAGCCTTGTTGCTGTTCTTAACAGCTTACTTCTTGGACACTGGGGAAAGGGGTTGAGGGCGTTCTGGTGTAGTCTGCTTTTTCTATTTCTTTTCAATGCTGCTATTATTCTAGTTTGCTCTAAGCAGAGAAGTGGCCATTATCAAGCCTGGAGAAGGGCCCAGCACATACCAGGCTGTGAGTATATGTAAAAATGAGGCAAATTTTTCGCCCGTTTGCCTCTCTTCACCACTTCTTCTTCTATCCCGTGGTTGGGGCAACCGTAGGGGTACCGCTGCATCTGAAAACCAGCTCTCGCCATTTCTCTTTGTCCTCTGCTTTCCTCAGATTGTCACCCATCGTCTTCCTTGTCCACTCTGCGATGTTGTCCTCCCATCTCCTTCTCTGCCTTGTAGGATTGTTTTCGCAAGTTCTGAGGATCTTGTGACATGCCCATACCATTTTTATTTTCGTCTCTTCACTGTGGTCAGTATATCTTCAAGCTGCCCCACTGCGTTGGTGATTCTGTTCCGTACCTTCGCATTTGAAATGTGGTCTTTGTATGAGATGTCAAGGAGTCTGCGGTAACATCTCATCTATGTTGTCTGAATCCTTTTCACAACCTCCAGTTGTCATCTATAACTGAAAAACCTCCAATACACATCATTAGACGAATGTTTACTAGTGCAAATTATATATTTTAAATCTAAAGCCACACTCAGGCTTTCACAAATAGACGCTTCCTGAACTTTTCACCTCGCATCTATCCTTCTTCTTTGATCATCGTACATGTTCCATCATTCGCCTTCAACTTTGACAGTAACAGCTAGCAACGTTCCACTCTGACTCATTTGATAGAGTGTCGGTGTGTTTCTGTTGAGATTTGGTATCCCATACAGGTCGGGGTGTTATGGCGTTGACATGTAGGATCTTCCTCAAATACTTCCGAGAATGTCATTTTAAAAAAACAACAACAAAAAAAGAATCCCACGGAATTATGTCAGTCAAATTGCACAACCAGACCCATAAAACATACAATCACACACAGTTCAAACTCAAATTATCCACCATAACTTTAAATTCTATAGACGCCTGACAAATGTTCCTTAAACTAAGCAATGCCTCTTTTCGTTTGCAAATTGCTTTTCTGTCTCATCTCATCAAGACTCACTTATAAAAGGGTAATTCCATGAAAAATGAAACTGCAGTGACTCACTTACGCAAAGATAATGACTTACACAAAAAAATCCAAGCAGTGAAGTTGTGACTTCTTTTTTTTTTCTAAACGGCTCGGTCATTGTTTAGCATTTTTTAAAATAAAGTCATTGTCCCCGTGGTGCATAGTATGTCACTGCTGTTCCATTTGTCATAGAATGACCCAAAATCAGATTTATGACGTGCGCTATCGTTACAGCATTCCAGCTCTTTGAACGACTGGTCAAGTTCAGGAATCATCATTGACGACCTCTGCCTACCAGTAAGTAAACAACACACACACACACACACACACACACACACACACACACACACACACACACACACACACACACACACAAACACAGATTAGGTCAACAAAATCCGTAGTCCAGCAAACATTATTCTTGCGGACAGCTATGTCATAAAGAGTCAGCCTTTATAAAAAAAAAGAAATCAATCACCTATGTAACTAAAAACTACATATATATTGTTTGAAAGGAGAAATGTCTAATTTAGAAAGAAAAAAACTAGGTTGTGAATACACATGTCCAAACATAAAATAAGCAAAGACTTATTATTATCTTTAATAAGGCGTTATCATAAGGGGAAGAAACTGCAGCAGAGACAGAAAGTCCAAACTTTCGTCAGTGCAAGGACAAACTGCTCTTATGCCTTTTGAGTTCCATGCATTCCTTATACACATACTTAGTTTTGTTACGGTTCAAGCCAATACTGAGACAACAAATAACAAACGCTAAAATGTAGAAAGAAGTTTGGAACGGGTGAGCAGACTGTGTTCGCCCTTCAAGGGTTACTGGGTAGTTCCCAATCACAAACAGCGCATCTAATGTTTCTTCACATCACAAAGTTATGTGCGCGCAGGGTTGGTGATTTTTTTTATTTTTAAAATAAAAATTTTTTAAATCGATTTTAAAAATTCAAATCAGATTTTTTAAATTTAAATCGGATTTTTTTGATTTTTTTTATTTAAAAAAAAATGTCGACACAGTTTGGGATTTTTGGTGGCTAAAAGTATGTTCTTTTAGTGCAAAATGCATTGTCTTTATTTTAACTAATGATTAATTTAAGCAACTGCAAATTTAGAAAGCCTTAATCTGCTATATCAGTGAATTATGGCTACAGACAAAAAATGAAGAAAATGTCAGTCTAAAAGGAAAGGGTGGGGGGGGGGGGGGGGGGGGGGTAATTATGCATAGATAAACTTGCATTTTATTTTTATTACTGTGTGTGTGTGAACACGCGCTTGTGTTTGTCTAAAAAGAAAAAGAAAATGCTAATTTCAATTATGAAAAAAAAGTAAATTGAATACTGTATTATTTTACTACTTACAGCGACAGGGGGGGGAAGCAGACTTTTAAGCAATTTTAGTCTACTAAACCTTATATCTGTTTTATAAAACCAAGGAAAGGGATTCTGAATGTTTAAAATGTAAAAACAGAAAACATTTTTTAAAGTGATTTAAATCACTGAGTTTTATTTTTAAAATCAAGTTGATTTAAATATTACAAAAATCAACTGATTTAAATCGACCCGATTTAAATCAACCCAACCCTGGTTTTCAATTATGAAAAAAAAATAAATTGAGAGCTGTATTATTTTACAGTGACAGGGGGGAAAGCAGACTTTTAAGCATGAATATATTAGTCTACTAAACCTTATATCCGTTTAAAATAAAACCAAGGAAAGGAATTCTGAAAGTTTAAATATGTAAAAACTGAATACATTTTTTTGAAAAGTGATTTAAATCACTGATTTTTATTTTTAAAATCAAATTGATTAAAATTTTTTAAAAATCAACTAATTTAAATCAACCCAGCTCTGATTTCAATTATGAAAAAAAGAAGTAAATTGAATACTGTATTATTTTACAGTGAAAGGGGGGAAATCAGACCTTTAAGCATGATTATATTAGTCTACTGAACCTTATATCTGTTTTATGAAACCAAGGAAAGGAATTCTGAATGTTGAAATGTGTAAAAACCGAATAAAAATAATTTTAAAAAAAAGTGATTTAAATCACTGATTTTTATTTTAAAAATCAAGTTGATTTAAATTTAAAAAATCAACTGATTTAAATCAACCTGATTTAAATCAACCCAACCCTGTGTGCGCGCATCTATGTAAGCATTTCTTTACATTGATAGTCTTTACCACCACCCACCATACATTACAGCCCTAAACTGGAACAATTCTAGCAGACTCTATTGTTCATAGCAACATCTCTTCTGCCTCCCTTCAATTTTTCCATCTGACTAGAACTGTGATACACGAGGAACCACATGACATAAGATTGACTGATACTAGAGTCACTTGAAAAGTATTCAACCACATGATATTAGAGTTTTATTAGATGGGTGTCACAGTTTAGTTTGAGGAAAGAGGAGCACACACACAAGACATTGGCCACTTTGTGCAGAGAAAAAGAAAGACAGACAGAAAAAAAAAAATGAAAGAAAAAAGGACCTACGAGTGGCACCCTCCAACCACCCATTAAGAGTCACGGTACAAGAACTAAACCACGATGCATAAAAGTGTACCTTTCAACAAGTGTTATAGTGCAATCGCTAAACATGTTGGACCATTACCGAAACAAGAGAGTGATTTGAGAGTGCCGCTGACTGATCTGTATAATCATCAGTTATTTCAGTTTGTTACTTCCCTTCTTCCTTGCACTAAATGATGGTTACGACGTTGATGGGCTCCTTTCCCGCTAAAACAAATGAATTTAATAACACTAAATACACATGGTAAACTTCACTTGTCATCTACTCCAGAAATACAACAACAGTGACCACAACGACGAAATTCGACAACTACAATACGAGCTGTGGAAAGCCAAAGAACAAGTGGGAGCCCTCAGGAGAGTCAACAGTTTCCTCAAGGTAAGTCCCTTACACTAGCATAAGTTACAAGGGATGTAAAAGTCACTGAGGCATGATAATGGTTTTGAAACTAAGGACCTTTGTCATACATTTTTTCTAAACATTAAACATGGAAGAAAATTTCCAACTAACCTTCTAAATATCTAAATGAAGTTAATAGAAGCTTAAAACGTATGATGACTAAAGGGGGAAGAATCACAGATGTTCACTTTTTTACAAAACAGAGAAAATTGATATTTCGTCTTTTGAAGACTTCAGTGCTTCCCTCTTACTTCTTTTTTTGGGGTTATAAATGGTTGTATTTCTAGACTTCTGCAGTCTTTCCCAATGATTTTCCAAATAGCCGAATCCAGTAGCACAACATGAAAACAAGTAGAAATTCAGCACCCCCCCCATTAGACACTGGTCAATTTCTGGGCACGTGACGCTATAATCATCTTAAAGCTTGTTCAGTTATCTTGCTTTCAATTAAAAAATGCCCTTCTATCTTAAATAGAAGTCCAGATATTTGTGATTGAAAGAGGTGGGTTGCCTGGTTTCTGAGGTAAAATTAGCGAGAAAATGGCCACCAAAGTTTGGTGACTTCCATAGCTTAGGAGTCCTTGGAAACTTTAAAATTTACATTTTTTGTGCTTTCAATCAACGTTTCTCAATAAAATCCACACATAATTGTGTTTTTAAATGGACACAAAAGATGTCACACAAAAAAACCCAAAAATGGATAAAAATGACCAAACCAGCGGAAAAATGCTGGTTTCTTCGATTTCATTATTTGGAGACACTTGATTTCACCACGATGCTTCACATAATATGTAATCATGAAGGCTTCTTAATTTTCCTCCATTGGGAGACACATGGCAGAGAATACATTAACAAAACATCTTGAAAGTTGAAAGTACAAAAAATCCTCCCTTGTCCAGAAAAGATAGGATTATCGTTAGCATTATTATTGTGCTGGAACAGAGTGGATGACCTTGGTTTGAATCTCCGAGGTGGGTATTTTGAACTTGGGTTGGTTTGGGGAGTTGTTAAAGTTCTCCACCCATTTGGCTTGGTCCTAATAGAGATGGATGTCTAATTTGGAAGTCCATCCCTATAAATGTCCTTACAGTGTTGAAAGGGGTGTTAAACCTATACACTGACCAGTGACAGAAAAGACGTCCATGTCAAAGGGTTTGTGTGTTACAACAATTAAACGTCTGAAGCTAATAATCTCTTGAATAGATTTTTATCAGCAGAACAAGTTAGTATTGGGTATTTTTCTTCCCAGGAAAGAAATGGACATCCAGCAACAGAGACAAAAACAGAGCCAGTGGAAAGTACCACCTCAGACCAGAGAGCAACTCCGTCTCTGCTCGTGTCTTTCATACCAGCCATAGTGCTTGGGATTTTGACAGGAAAGTTTGTACTCTAGATGGCTGTCAGTAAACAGTTTAACTTTGATCTGAAAAAAAATTGTGGCTCCCTTAATCGTTCCTTTTTAGTTTTGTGATTCAAACTTATGCAGCTGTCAACAATATAACAACCCTCTCCCCCCACCCCTTTAAAAAACTTTTTTTTAAAACCCAGTGTTCTTCAAACATTTCGAGGTCCTATGCAAACTACTACCAAAATTAAAAGGTACAAAAGTAAAAAAAAGAACAAGTCTCCGTGGGCCAGCTGCTAAGCAAAACTTTGACTTTAATCTCAACCCAAAACTAAATAAACTCCAGTAGAAAAATATTAGTAAATGGCTTCAAAATCCGCATGCAAAAACCAAAAACATGAGAGGCACTATAGGAACAAAAGTCATGTACCAGTAAGTAACATCAGTTCTACAGTGCGTTGGAGAGTCAATACGATGTATGAAATTGGCCATGCTGAGTTTAAACTGAGGCCATAGTAAAAACAATAAAATCACAAAAAAAGGTTTAAACATTATATATTAATTTTGGCACTTACCTTCTCTATAAAGTAAGGTATCTTGTCAATGCTGCTGGGCCGGGCAGAGAATTTGCTGTACTGTCTTGCAGCTTCAACCTTGAAAATGTTCCAAAAAGTATTTCTTCCTTAATCAAAGAAAATTCTTTTGCATAAGTGGACATGGACATTCAACTGAGCATCCACTACATGAAAAATAAGCTCAACTTATTCACAGCTGAGCCACCTGGTCTAGAATGTGAAAGTTCAAATACAAAAAGCAAGACATAGATTCATAACTCGCAATATAATATAGAAAATATCAAGGCCAAAGATATCAGTTCAGTTCACATTGACTGATCTTAAAGACTGTAGAAAGATTGTGGGTCTAAACAGCTTTAAAAAAAAATCCTGTAGCAGAGGAAAATGACAGAAAACAAATTTATTTTTGTAAAAAAATTTTAAGTCTCTTTCTCACAATTTGACATTTTCAATTTTAGCATTGAAATTTCCAACATGGAAAAGCTACTATTTTGGGAAGATAATGAAGAAACCCAAATAAATCAAAATGAAACTAGGAGCGGGAGACTTTTCATGTCTCTACACCCAAACAAACCTTGTGGGAATTAATGTATTACAATGACAAACTATATTGTCAATTTTTTTACATCAAGTTAGTGCACTTGGAAAAGTGAATACCATCAAAACAGTCTAAGATGGCCATCCTTTGTCAAGGAGAAAACTGGTTGTCTTAGACAAGTGGACATCTAGAATAGCTTCATGATTCCCATTATTATTATGGTAATATAAAGAAAAGAAAAACGCTAGGGGAAAGTTGGAAGAGGTTGTTTCTTTGATAGGAGTGATTTTCTTGGACGGCTGGCCTTTAGAGCAAGTTCAGTTGTACATGTTCTCTCTATACTATGTGGACAGAACTAGTTTCACATATTATGCAAAAGACTTTTCTTTGATTAAGGAAGTGTAAATTGTCAGCCCTTCATGTTATGTGTGAGTAACCACTATTGGTAGAGACATAAAAGAAAATTAACTGTGTAACATTTGTAAAATCTTTCTTAAAGCATCAAGAAGCAAAAGTAACAAATCAAATAAATTTGGTGGTGTTGTGAGAATCAAAGAAACAGGAAAATCCTACAGAGACTAACAGACTTTAAGCAAGAGAGAGAGAGAGAGTGAGAGAGAGAGAAGGGGGGAGGGAGGGGGGGGGGAGAGATGGAGAGAGAGAGGGGGGGAGGGAGGGAGGGAGGGAGGGAGGGAGGGAGGGAGGGAGGGAGGGATAGAGAGAGAGAGAGAGAGAGAGAGAGAGAGAGAGAGAGAGAGAGAGAGAGAGAGAGAGAGAGAGAGAGAGAGAGATTCACATGAAGTTAAGTATGTATATTTTATGTTGCACACACTGGTGTACATATATATTGATAATATCTTCTACTGGAGGATCAATGAAGCATTTATCTTATTTTACCTTGTTTTAATACAAATTAAAGAGAAAAGTGGTTGTCTTAGACTGAAGGACATGTTGGACAGTTTTATTATAATCATATTTGAACAAGTGTTAGGGGGGAAGCGGAGAGTGGTCATTTATAGTATACATGTGGTTATCTTGGACAGGTGGCCATTAGAGCAGGTTCAATTGTATTCACAACAAATTTGTACTCTTTGCAATAACATCAATGCTGTATATATATGGAATTGCAGAAGAGAAAAGCACAAACCTGGGAGTACTCCTGAAATCCACCCATAGCTTCCTGATCCTGGTCACAAGATCCTCCAACAACGATCAATGGCCTGGTTTGACGCAAAGAAAAAGAAAATTACCAAAATATACAATTTTCATAATCTTTTCTCTTTTCCATGCCTTCATCAGATTGAAACTTTTCAACAAGAAACTTTTGTGAAGATTTTTTTCCTTTGAGTTTAAATACTTCCATTAAAATCTATTTCAACTTGAAAGCATTTTGGTAGTAAACCTTTCTTAATAAGGAGGAATAGGGAGCAGGATCGTTTCATTTTCAAAGAAAGAAAACATGAAGGGGTCAAGATGGAGCTGAGCATGATTCTTAAGCCTTGACCAAAACAATGCATGTTTGTACTGAAGAGTTTAAAAGATATTGTCAGTTTTCTAGCGTCTGAGAAGCTACAGCTTCCATGAAACTATCCAAGAAACTGAAATCTACAAGAATGCTACAGCCATTGAGTCTGTCTGGATAATATGATAAAGCATATATCCTGATTTGAAGTGAGGATATATTTACTACACATGCATCGAAGCAATGTATTATTACCAGTATTCACAGAAGGCTTGCTTGGACAAAGATTTAAAAAACAAGGTCTGCTTCATTGGTACTTACCAGCAATTTTCCATTGCATTGGACATCCCAGCGAGAGCATGAACCAAACCTGGGCCCGACACTACGAGGCACACGGCTGGCTTCCGAGTCAAGTAACCAATAGCAGATGCAGCGTAGGATGCCTGTGATACATGTAATTCATTGTCTTACCAGAGGAAACAACACTAAAGCCTATTCTTATAGTGAAATATAATTTTCTCAGATTCAGAAAAAGAGATTAACAAACAATAAATTAAGTGCTGCAAGTAAAGAGACAATATGACTTCTACATTAGCTGAGAAAACAACAAAGTTAGCATCAAAACAAAAATGTATGTTATACTAGCTTTCTCACATTTTTAAAGTCATAACACCTTCTGTTGCCTGTGTCTATTGTATTCACTTGAAGTTACAAGTGTATCATCACAATAACTGCTGTACTTAGGCAGGGACAGATTAGGGCAACAGTAACTGCATTGAATTTTTGAAAAAAGAAGCCAATCATACAAGAGAACCCACAAACCACCCACATACCCCCATTGAAGTGACTGTGTGATGTGATTTGCATTCCATGAATCATTATCAATGTAGCACTAAGTTAAAAAAAACATAATAAAAGTGCAGTGTTTGATTAATCATGTTATCGCACTCATTTAGCAGTAAGTTGACTCTCCTTAGGGTAAAATCATCCAATGAAGGGAAGGGTTTGACAAACTATTGCAGAGTTCAGAAAACAAAATGGCATGTAGCTATACTTACTGCTTGTTCATTTCTCATCGCTATGAACTTGATCCCTTCGGCTTGGGCTGCCATACCCACTTCTATGACTGGCACACCAACTATGCCAAACATGTACTCCACACCCTACAAGAAAGAAAAAGAGTAAAATATCAAAATAAGTATGAGCTATTTAATTTGTTCAATGAACATCTGTCAAGATAAATTCATGTAAAAAGGCTTGATTAGAGTTAAAGAGAGAAGACATTAAAAGAAATTTAATTGTGTTAGGTTCAGGGGCTGTTCATTAACTAGCCAAGATATATTGGTGGAGCCGGTCATTTTTTGTCGGCTATACAGAGGACACAAGAGATATTGCCGATAATAAATTATATTCAGTTCCATTTGAATCCAATAAAACATTTATCAACATGATTCAAAAACCACGTTGCTGATTTGGATGCACCAAAAAAGACGATAGGAGCTCACCGACCTGTTGTCACACTGCAGTGACTCTTTCCTCCATCTGTTTCATCAATGCTGGCTTGCAACTTTGTTGTCAGTGCCTCCAGTCATTTACTCACTGCAAGCAACTCCGCACGTGAACGCCACGCTAAAAGCCAACGATTGCCAAAATTGACCACCACAGGGCACAAAGAGGAAGTCTCTTATCACTGGTTGCCAATTTAACTTTTCAGTTGCTTACAACTCAAGGATTAGACTGTCTTGAACAGTACATTTAGAATGTTGTGTTTTATCAGTAATATTAACTTTTAACCTGTCTCTAGTTACTGTCAGTACACATTCACTGTGAGCATGGCTCTTATCTTTAACGCCTTTTGAATTTTTAGCCACCCATGGTTCTGTTTGGTGTTCTATTTATCACTTATTCTCTACTACACCCTTACCTGGCCCAGACCAGCTAAAGTGACCTTTGTCCACTGATGTTTTATAGAGAAATTTTTACTGATGAGAGTGTTGGTTTTGCGAGAGGCACTCGACTGACAGGGGTTGGGCCCAATATACTCTCCTTTCCCTTTTTCAACCCTCATCCTGGCCAAATGCTAAGTTAGCTATTATTAGCATATTTGGTAAAACTTCCCCACTTAAAACGGTGTTAAGAGACATGTGATTAAGATTTTTAAATTATAACTAGAAATTGTTGTGAACCAACTTTCTCAGAGCTTGTGCGTTTAAGTATGCTGTATTGTAATTGATTCTAGATTTGATTTACGAAGAGTAATTGCTACAACATTGATTGTACTTTAGGCTATCTTTGAAGCTCTAACATTACGTAGGTCTATAAATACAAAAATGTTCTAGGGCTATAGTATTTATATTTGGTGTGTGTGAGCGCGCATGTTTGTGTGTGAGTGTGTGCGTACATTGTGCGTCGGGGGAGGGAGAATAGTGAAGATGTAGGTATAAATGGTCTGTATGTGTTTGGGTGGGGGGGGGGAGTCGATATAAGTATATATAGAAGCCGGATAGTTCAACAGATCCCGAACCACCCCCCGTTATTCCACAGGATTTATTCCATCATGACACTAGATTATGGCAAGTTTTGAAAAATGAACCCTATTTCAATTAGTCACAACATGTGCATTGCATTGAAGAACAAATTAATACAAAATTGATATTGCTAAATAAACTCAAGGAAGGGGTTGGCTATTTAAATCTCCACGTGTAGATTTCTTTCCATACAAGCACCAATACGCCACTAGAAATTTTGAATAAATCTGTGGCATCTTTCTTGGAGAATTCTTTGGACATTATAATGTTCAACATTGGGTTTCAACTGTTCGATTGTTCATGGGTTGTTTCCCTACACTCTCTTAAAAAATCCCAAAGGTAATTTATTATACCTGAAGGCTGAAGGGCGTCAAGTTGCGGGGAATGTGGTAACCTTTCATTTGTAAATTTACGGTTCCCCAAACCTTTCTTGCAACTATATCAGGGCCAATCTTGATGTGCAAGTTGTGGCTCAATCCCACTGGAACCAGGCCTGTACAGCACAACACATTATGCACAAACTTAAAACTTTCTCGGTATATTTAGATCCCTATCTGAGGTGACTGTTGTGGTTTTACTGTCCTTATCCCAAAACCATAACAGGCCAATCACGCCCCTGTAGCTAAACACTTTTACTTTTTTATAAGAAGTAAGATTTAGCGTTTTACCCAATTTTTATTGAAATTTTAAAAACATTACATTTCTGATATGTCGATTGATTTTCTTTACTTATATAAAACAAACTTTACATTCTCATGGTTGAATTTTTTTTTTTCAAACTTTTAAATCAATGTGGAGAAGACCGAGCTATTGCCCTTTAAGCGGGTCCTCTTTTTTTAAGAAAAGACAACCTGTACTTTTACGCCTTCACACCATCATTCACGAACTGTCTGAGTTGTACAGCGCTTATTTACCTAAAATTTGCCTCACCACACCACCAGCGAACTGACCACCAGAAGTACACACACTATACATGGTACACAACACCCAATGGTTGGCTGCTTTTTATAATCTTTCTCCCATGAGAAAGACATTCATAGAGAAAAAGAGAACTCTCGGCTCTGAATAAATGTGCATGTACATGTATATCAACAAACACTGCATAGCAGAGTCGTTCCTTGACAGGGGACAGGCGGGGCTATACAACACAGGAACCCTGTTGAACCGCCACGCCCTGCTGTAACGTTCTGCCAACTTCATGCTTGTCCCAATGGTGGCGGTTTAACGAGATTTGACTGTACTCATAAATAACAGCAAAGGCTGTTGAAGCTTCCATCTGTATTTTTGCAAATCCTCTTCAGGCAATTTTCTCTTCTGTGTACACATTGGTCTTGGTCAACTTATTAATTCTGATTATTTGTATAAATTCTTAATGAATGAACGTTCTATCTTTGAGCCTATGTCTTTAATTTTTGGGCCGTGAACCTTGACTGATAGGCACTTGCAACACAATTGGGTAATACATGCCAAAGATTAGATGTAAGAGAGTGTAACAATTTAAACAAAAACGAAGGAGGAGAGAAAACAACAGCTGATGTTTTAATCAAAAAAGAAGGTGAAGAAGCAAACCACACCAGAGTTCAACCCCCTCCCACTTCCAACTACACAGTCACAATAGGCGTAAGGAGGAGAAATGCCTTACTGATGAAATGAAGTCAGTGAAGAAACTACAGTATAAGGTAATAAAGTACAGACAACTCTCACAATCACAATTACTTGTAAAGAAAATCCTGTGCAACAGAATACGGAGCAATGCAGGGATGGGAATTGGAGAAGCAGGCATTGAAAGTGAAAGAAATGGAAGGACATCCCAGAAAGGACAGGCCCCAAGCTGAGAGACACCAATACGCAAAGAGGTCTCATGCTCAGGTTTTGTAAAGCCCTTTTCTTTTAATTTTTATCTGCTTTACACGAATATTGGCTTCATATTTGCCGCAAATAAATTGAAATATTTCATCGTTTTAATACGAACTAGATCTATATAAGCTAAATTGTGTTCTAATTTCTGCGTTTTAGACCAATGGGGGGACGGGTTTCAGAACACCTTACCCAAGGGTTAAAAAAATCTGGGGGGGTTACACAAGGAGGAAACACCCCATGTTACTTTTTTACTTCCCATAATTTGGTTTAGTATATTATGTTAGAAATGTTTTTGAATATTGGTGATTAATTCCTGCAGCAAAAAAATACTGCAGTTCATCCCCTGCACAGTGCATCTCTTTAGTTTTAGTTTAAGTGTTTTAGGGCACTTGCAACACAATAAGGTCATATAAGTGCCGAAGATTAGAGGTGTTAAAAGAGAGTAACAAACACACACAAAAAAGGAGGGGAGATAAAGACGATAGATGTTTGATAGGAAAGAAGAAGTAAACCACACCTGAGCACCCGCCAACCACCCACAGCGTACACCTGCCCTGGCTCACCTCTATAAGTAAGACGGCCACCTGTAGAAACGGCCACTTTCCATTCCCCCCCTTGCGTTTTTTTCTATATAATTTGACTGTGTAAAACGGGCACCTGTTCAACGCGGCCGCGGCCACCATATTTTAACACACAACCCCTATCACACTAAGCAATAACACCTGTCTTAGACGGCCACCTTAGTGACTCTATAAATTACGTTTTGTCATAGATTGTGCATTGGCCCCAGGCGTTGTGGGCGAGCCCTCACAATTCAATCACCTGTCGTTGTTGTTAGAGTCCCACCAACCAATCATGTTGTGTAAGCCCCTCCCACTGTTGACCAATGGGTACCAATTTTCAGCTGATGGTAAGGTAAGGTGATCCCTCATAACCCATAAGCCCCGCCCAGAACTCATACACAAATCGTAAGTGAAATGAGTGGTCACTGTTTACCCAGTCTGTAACAAAGTAACAAAGGACGTCAACATGAACTTGAGACAAAAGCGTCGCTCGTTCTCCGAGTGGTGGCAACCCATGTGTTTGTAGTTTGTTTTAACATGGCACTCGGTCTTCCTTGTCTGATATACATTTAGTTTTATTGTCACCCTTGTGCAAAATCAGCAACAAAATAAAATTTACAAACAAAATACAAACCACCACCACCAACAACAACAATGCGGCTACTTTCGATTGGGACCTCAGATGGAATGGTTTGTTTTCTTCATCTTGATCAGTCCTGCCTGAGACGACCACCTGTCTTATACGACGGCCACTTTTCTCCTTGACAATGGGTGGCCGTCTTACACAGGTTTGACAGTATCTGGGTGTGTGTGTGTGGG